TATTTTGGGACACATGTCTGGTATGCAAATTTTATGAACCTGCCCTAACACCAAGAAAATAAGAATCAAATTTATGCAGCGCTTTCTCACTGCATCCACCTCTTTGTTTCAGAGTTGACCACAGACACTTAGCCCGAAACAAGAATCTTCATACTGAAGTTTGCAGTTATGAATCTGGAAAGTTACACTCGGAAGACTTTAAAGGCACCGTTAAAAAAAACACCAACAACATGAGAAAAAGAGATAAACAACAACAAATCTGTGACACTACTTCAAAGTGAGATGTTATTTCAAGTTGCTGTTTATGTTATTTTAAACTTATTTACCAAAGAAAAAAGAATGTTGTAATAACAAAGATACATTGATTAGTGAACAAACATTCTCATAGACTTAAAAATTAATCCATTAAAATGACATTGGGGAGGGCACTTGTTTGTGGAAGCCGCCAAATTGCCCTACAATCTTGATTACAGTGTGCCAGATGGACATCACTCTTCTGCCTAATCGCGTTTCATTTATGTGACTAAAGACCAACTACATACATAGTACGCCTTATAAGTCACTTTGAATTTAAAGATCACCCCTGACCTTAGGTCAAAGGTGATCTTTAAATACTCGTCCACAAGTTTGAGGTGCTTGTTACACTGAAACTTGGGTTTTCTGGCTTATTATAGTAACTTAACCCCACACTCCCCCATCAACAGAGTGACTGCAGCAACATGCTGGTGACAACAGAGAATGAATTACTCACTTTCCACCATAATAGAACTACAACACACAGAGGTTACCAGCAAGGTTTATTGAAGAGAAAATCTTTTCTAGTAAAAAGAGTATCACTGCAACTCATATTTCAGCCTTCACCAGTTAACCATGAGCACATTTATGTAAATGAAACAACGCTTGACTCAAACACGAGTTTCTGGAGCCAACTTCAGTGATCAATTTTGCTTTAGTGGCATGATGAACCTGATGTTTACGATGAATGAACATCGGATGGATTGCCATTGAAAGCTCTCCAATATTTTTAGTAGATCAATTTGAATATCCTATCTCCCATCGTTCTCAAGTTATACTGTTCACGACGATAACACCCCACTCGACTTTTTACAGCTGAGCAGTAAAAAGCTGTGGGATTTGTAATCTTCAAAGATTCATGGCAATCCATCAGACAGTTATAAACACATTCCTCAAATTCATGACGTTGGCAGAGGAAAAGCAAAAAAAATTCTGGGAAGTATTTTTAAAAGATGTTACTGCTATTCAAAAATAAGTTGTTGAGACACTTCAGTTTGGGTCTAAAACGGTGCAATATGTCGAAACAACTGAACATAGTAACAACATTATGAATTCGAATCTAGCAATGCATCTCTACTGACAGATATCCCACACGTTACATTCACAGATAATAACGTTGAAAAGAAAAATAAAGAAAAAAAAACGATGAAATGAATAAAAGTTGATGAACAACCACCTCTATAACAAAGCAGCTGTAAAGAACTGTAAAAAGAAAGTAAAAAATAAATAAATTGTGCAGTTAGCAACATGGTTCATTATCATTACTATCATCTAAAGATCAAGCCTGTATGATAAATCACCCTGTGACAAGTGTCACAGGGTGATTTATCATTAATATTACAACAATGTTGGGCCTTAGGCACCTTCCTTTGTTGTTGGTTCCTCCAGGGTTTAAGAGCCGAGAGCAGAAAGATGCGCCGTCCGATATCATTGTTCTCTAAACTTTAAAGCTGACAGAGAAGATTAGCAGGAATGAAAAGACTTTAATCTTGGACTCGATGTTTCACAGATACAACCTATCAATTCTGACAGAAAGCGAGGGGACGGGTACACCAGATCAAAGACCTACCTCTCTCTGTTATATCTGCCACTTGAAAACATGCCATCCAAAGAAATTAAGCCCTTATGTACTATTTCTGAATTTTTAAGCTAATACGCCACAAGAGATATAATCTGTGAAAAGTAGATTTGTTTTTTGAAAAAGAAAACAAAACTTAAAAATATTTTTAATCACTACTTTTATAAATGTAGCCGGTTGGAGGCTTCTTGTTAGAAAGACATGTGCCAGAGAAGTAAGATCTTGTATTGGCAAACCTTTAATCAACCTTTTTACAGCCTTTGTTGACATCCACTCTGAAACTACACCTGCACCCCATGACAATAAAAGTGGAATTGAATTTGGTTCTCTGGTGTACGTGACACGCATGACGCAAACTGAATAACAGGCTGGAAGCAAACTGGTGCAGAGTGTTTCTTATCCAGAGCGTGTGATGCTGCCAGACAGCTGAGCTTAGGGTGATCATTTTAAGTAAGTGCCTCCGAACATTTCCAACGCGTCATCAGCGAAGCACCTCATGACTACATTAATTCATAACAGACAGACATATAAACAAAACACACATAATCACCAGACTAAAAATAGTCTTCAGTCTTCCTATCCTTCACAGACGGAGGTTTAACATCTTTATTGCTCTTGATAATTTCCCCTTGTCAAATAATTGCACAGCATAAAAGAAAGAAGTAACACGTGTGCTTTTAGTGTCCCTCAAACCACCAGTACTCTTAAAAGGGAAAATGAAAACCTAGGAGCCAAATGGAAAAATATGATCAAAAAGAAACTGCCTGTGAGCTGCAATCGCTGATGAAACTTGGTTCAGTATTTTGTTTGTATATCATCAAATTATTACGATTACAAATTTCTGTTGAAATATGGCGATATCTTTTTGAGACTCTAGCCTACCCCTATTACTTAAACATTTACAAATACTAAAATTTGAGAATTACATCAGGAAAAAAACTACAAAATAAAATAAGTACTGACTTTTCATAGCATGTTGATGTAATTTTTGACTCTACTTGTTACAAAAGCTTTATTTTATTTATTTTTTAATGCCACCTAATCTAACACGTCCTCTTATTAGCTCTCCATATCCACTTCTAGTAACATCCTCTAACTAAAATATTCACACAACTTAGACATTGTTTTGTGTCTACACTAATCACACTGCTTTTTATTTTGTAGACTGATAAGATAGATTGATCGATCTAATGTGTCATGTGAAAACTGAAAACAGTCTCAATCATCCCGAAGACTGAAGAAGTCACTTAGATGAGAGATGAAATGTTTCTCCCTCTCAACGTCCAGATGAACAGAAGGGGTTTTATTCATTATTTTAGCGCTCAGTACTGTCATCTATAGCACCAAACAACAACAGCATGGCACTTACATTGAAGGTGAGACAACGTAAGACGTTTTTTCTTCCATTTATATAATACATGTAGCAGCCAGAGGTCAGTCAATAATTGTCTTGCATGAAGATTTTGATAATTACTGACTTTTATTATGAATCCCTAGAGAATTTTATTCATATTAATCCTCCTTCAACACTAACGACAATCTGAAGCAATTAAGTGGAAGTGGTGGTCAACCACAGATATGGAAGAGCCATACAGAGGCGGTATGCAGTAAAGGACAAAGGTGACTTTATTTTCTACAGAGGCTAAGGTCACTGAACATCTGCCATCCCTTGCAGTGTGTCTACCATATGGTGGTGGCCAGTGCTTTTTGTTGGGGCCTGCTGAGGAGAAGCTGTCCGCACAGCAGAGAGGAACAGTAGACAAACCTATAGAGGAACGGCCCAGCAGTCGGGTCTGAACTTGAAAAAGCTCAGCAGGCAGTAGAGAGAAGAATGCACTTGAAGCTGAAATCAGCTATGATCAACCCTGCACACCCACTCTGTGGCCTGAAGGTTATCAACAGCAGCACCTTCAGTCAAAGACTGACTGCACCAAAGTGCACATCTGATCACCTCAGGAGGTCCTTTATATCAGCTGCCATAAGACTGTTCAGTGCACAGTGATAATAATATGATTTTATCCACATGTTTGCACATTTGCATGTTAATCACCTACTGTTTTATATATATTGAAGTACTATTAACTTTTTTGAAAGCATTATTATAAATGAGTAAAGGCTATCTTTCTTACCACCATTCGTGGGTTCAATGATATAGAACTGATGAGAAACAGAGTAAAGTGAATTACCTCAACTGCCGTCTGACAGTCAGAAATAGCATCTTATATTAGACTTCCTGTAAGACGAGACTGTGGTCTGACTGCAACTAATACAGACAATACATACGAGGAGAGTGGTCTTCAGACTCTTTAGCAGGACACAGGAAGTGAGATAAAACTGTTCTACAACCGCACCGATAAAAACGCTAAAGAAAAACTTTACTTGATTTAAATTCAGCCGTCATTGCCTTCAAAGCTCCTTGTGCAACTCTGACCTTCTTATCTACATCTGGATATACTCTAAAGTCCATTCCCATGTTCATGTATCTTCTCCTCTGTGTCTAATCAGCAACTTGAAATTCATCTTAGGAAAAAGAAGGTTGCAGAGAGCCAAATTTGGCAATAGGGCACAGTGATGAGCTAAAATCATGGCCATGTTTCAAGTCATTTGGATCAAATGTGACATGTCAGGATGTTAGAGCAGAAACCTCAACTTCTGCAGGAGGAAATTTCAGGGCACAACCCAGGAATGTTTAAAAATAAACAACAATCATACTTCTCTGACTCCTGACCTGATGTAGGCTCTTCCACTAACACCTGCACCACGGTCGGACAGAGACTCGGCTCTCATCATTAGCGATCGTCCTTGGTATAAAAGTCAAATTGGTTTGAAGCATGAGTTCACGTTTGTGCTCAGCTGGTGGTCTGAACAAGATGTCAAGGAAACAATCTGTCAAGTCCTTAAAGCCTCACAGTGCTTCACAAGCAGAAGACAGGAATTTAGCTGTGGTGGGTTTTGTTTGGGGTTTTTTTGGTTTTCAAGGAACAAGTTGTGAAACTTTTTGACTGCACTTGTTATAAAAACAGTTAAGGTAAAAAAAAAAATAAAAATCAAACTGAGCTACATTAAAAGACATCTCTTTAATCTTCAGTAACTATTAAGTGTCAAACTATTACAAGGTTAAACTAACCTTGACCAAAAAGTTGCCATCATCTTCTGGAGTCACCATGACAACGGAGTCATGTAGCTTTTCATCGAAATGAACGTGTGAAGATGCAGCGTGGGGTTCCTCTGAGAAGCGCACGCCTCCTGCCTTAGCACAACCTGAGGAAGAGGAAAGACGGAAGAGCAGCTGAAGGTCTGCTATGTACAAATATTCACACTGCATCCCTTTAAAGGGAGAAAACACACATTAAGCAGCCGGTTGTTTCCTTTAAGTGATGTAATGGAGAGTTGCTGGAGAGCACTTCACAATCCCTCATGCGCATGCTTTGCTAGTATGCACCCTCTGGGTGCTTTAAAGCCTTGAAAATGCACACACAAACACACATCAGGCACAAAGATTTTATCCCCTTCAGATATTTACTTTTTTTTTCTTTTCTTTTTTTTTTTAAGTGACCATCTGACTGGGCCAACGCTCATTTCGCAGCATGAGACAAAGACACCAAACACATACCCAGAGTCTTAAAGCTATCTTTACCCACAGGATAAACAGGGTGATATCACATTACAGACACCTATATGTGAATCTCACTGTTACCTCAGTGTCAAAATAAAAGAGTTAAAGGTTTGCAATCTAAACTTCTGATTTGGCCTTAGATTTTCGTGTTATCATAGGACACACTGACACATTTTTATTTATTTTTTCTTTGCCCAGGCATTCATCCCCAGTGTGAGAGAATGGAAAATCCTTCTCCAAATAAACAGCCCTCCACAAAAAATAATAATTCCCTGAAAAAACAAACAATTTGTTCAAAGGTCTCCTCCATAAATTTGAGCCCCTTTCAAAGCATCTCCTTCCCAGAGCCTTTCAACACCGGCTAAACAGCAAGACAGGGAGAAATAGTACAAAGAATATACCTAAGCAACTTTTTAAATATTTATGAAATACTCTATTAATAGGACGATATCCTTTAAGCCACCGTGAATGCTACTGCCCATAAAAACACTTTAAGTAAGTGATGCTGCAGTGTGTGAGTGCACGTCTGAACCCTCAGTTGTTATCACACATGAGCTTCCAGAGAGTGAGTCACAATATCAGAGATATCAAGTCAAGAAATTGTCCTAAGATGCCCTATTTTAACATGTAGACAAAAATCAGGAGATAGTCCCCCTTAAGAAGCTGGAAATACTCAGTTTGGTTTCGGGTGCTGCCTTAATAGAGTATAAGGGAGTCAGCATACATCACGCCCACTCCATCAATTCACTAGATAATCACCAGTATTTATCTCACGTGGGCACAGTTCAGCATCACTGGGGAGCTTGCAGGTTAAAGACCGTTAACTGTTGTGTGTCCTTGTAGCTATGCTGTGATCCTCTAACACTGTGCAAGGCCATGCGAGTTTGGTTAATAGAGAACTCTGAGGTGGTCATAAACAGACGAAACAATGCAGCAAAGAAAGAGGGTGGAGTTTGCTTTTTTTGTTTCTTTTCGATATAGTACGATTATAAGAATGTCTGTATGTTTTGTAACGTTCACACGAGGTCTGCAGCATTAAGACGAATCATAGCGGTGGAGCAGCAGTGCTATGATTGGTGCTAGCAGACTGGAGGCGCCCTCTGACATCTCCTGTGAAGTTAAACGATAGTTAATTACGGTTTACATATTTAAATATTCCTAATGTATGTTGGGCTCTAATGAGCGTAAGATCCCCAGCTCGGTCCCAGGAGGAGACACAATTCCCTTCAAGGTCGAATCAGGAAGGAGACCTGGCATGAAAAAATAAAAATCTGCAACTCAAACATGTGGAGCTACCTGCTGTGAATAAGGAAGCAGCCCAAACTAGCTTTATATACAGTGAAAACTATCTGCTGCTTCCTGTCAGTGCTTTGCAAGGATAACGGTCCTTTGTGTTAATATTCAAGATGTTAGTTTCTAAAGATAACAAGGAGGCGCACTCACAGCCGGTCACTTATAGCCACTAAATCTGAAGAGTTTGAGGAGTTGAACTTGAACTACTTGATCGATAGCTTTTCTCCAAAGAATCCCAGAAGGAGGTCAGTGCTTTAGCTGAAGTAGGACATTTTTTAACCACTTCTATTTCGATTAAACAGTTTCTGACACCTTAAGATGGATATACTGTGCTTCAGATGGCATGTAAGGAGCTTTACTTTCTCTATTTATCATTTAACATGTCATAATATTAAATACAACTTCAAACTAATACAATCTGCAATAATGTCATTGTTTAACCAACCTCTGTCTGCACAGTTGTATGGTAATGGTAAATGAACTGGTTCTTGTTAAGCACTTTTTTAGCTGTACTTGAGCACTCAAAGCCTTCTATACAATCTCACTCACAAATTCATACAAGCTCTTCTACTTCTGCTGTAGCATTCACACATATTCTCAAGGAAGTTGTTGTTGTTGTTGTTTTTAAAACTGTGTTTTATCTCTGTTTAATCTCTAAAAAAGACTGTTTGACAACAAGGCCCACATGTCTAACTTGGATTTCATAAAGCATTACTTCACCATGGAACAAACTTTGCTGGGTTACTTCTTTGGCTTAGGTGTGTTTATGTTCGGAGTCACAGTGTAACAGGCCCATGCACCACCACACTGAAAAGCTATCTGGGATCAGCATTATTAATTCAGTGAGCTAAATGTCACCAAAGTCACACTCACTCCAATCAAGGCTCATTTACAGCAGTCAGAATATTAATGTCTTTTTTAATACATTTTCTCATTCGTGGTGTGCAAGAGAGTAATTTAAACCACATTTTGTTTCTTGCCAAACTGACAGTTGGGGAGATTTATTTCTTTTTCTGAAGTCAAGTCTGAAGTTAAACTATCCTCACATTTACTGGCAGAGGGTTTCCCTGCCCTTCAGATCTGGACCAGAAATGTTACTTTAATTTAAGCACAGGGTTTTTGTCAAACATCCTCTGCCAAATTATAATAAGCCAACAGTTGGTGAAGCTGATACCATCTGAATTAATTACCAATCTAAGACAGTGAAGCTAGGCAATATCCTAGCATTTGTCTTGAAGAGCAGATTAAATCAAAATAATGAATCTCTTATCTCACAGAAACAGGAAACCAATAGTAATCTGAAAATAAAGACATATCAGATTAATATAAGATAAATTTATATAAAGGCCAGTTTCCTGACAAGTGAGCATATTAATATGCACAGGTTCAATTTGTGTAAGGTATAACTGATCCAGCTCATTTAATTATGTAGCACAACCTAAACCTACTTTTTTTTTTTTGTTAAAGTAATCAAATAGAATTTTTGTTTAAGGCTAGCTCCTGTAAAAATAACCAAAGCCCAGCATGTGCAGCAGAGCTAGTAAAAAGAAATGAAATAAAGTAAAAACTTGGATATTCTACATTCATTAGGTAATATCAAAGAAAACATCACGTGCAATGAACTTGCAATTGTGTTGCCTTTGAAAAGTACAGGAACTAGAACTGCAACAATTTGGATGGTTGGATGGCACAATGAAATGGCAATAACAAGGAGACAGTCTACAGTTTGTGACTGTATGGGGTCAAATTGGTAATTTCATGTTTGCAATAATCTGTCAATTAACTCTAACAACAGGGCGAAAATATCAAATTTGTTGCTGTGTACAATGAAATCATTCATATTCAACTCATATTAAATCCTTTAGATATATTCAGATACTCGGTAAAACCTCATGGATCTGAAACTAAAATTCCTCTATAAATAGTGATGTAGTCACTGCAGGATGGCAAATTAACTACAGGAGTTTAAGCACTTAAAGAAACACAAAGAAATATAACCATAATACAACCACTCAAGAACCAATTTAGTCAAGTGCCCTATTGTAAGACATCGCAGACCAGTCGCACTCATCAGCACAGACTCACTCCAGTTAATCGCACTGTGTTGTGATCTGTTTGTGAGTGACTGCACTAAGTCAGGTCTCCATTGTTTGGAAGCAGCCTGGCTCCCAACAGGCAACCGGGGCAATCACCTTGTTATTGAACACTTGTTAACTAATTTGCCTCAGACAGCAAAAGAGTTCAATGCAATCACCGAGCAAACATCAATTTTTCCTTGGGGCAAGGAGGTTAATGTCAATAAAGGTTGCAGGCAGCTGCTACTTCCTTTTCAGTGGCAACGGTGAATTCATTTTAAAACGTCTTGCCTTAACAAGTAAAGAAGTCAAAAGATATGAAAATGTTCTTTCATCTTTTTCCAGTAGTTCTTCAACTGATTGGCCTCTACTAATGCTAACCGACACTGGTATTGATAACTTATCTTTACACCAAAGTGTTGCACTTTCTCAGAAAGTCACTAACTTTCATTTTCTAAACAAAAGCCCTCTAGTGTTTCAAGAAACTGATTTATGTGGAACTAGTCTCTACTACAGCAGTTTTGCATGATTTACAGTTTAAAATAATCCACATTTATCCATTAGTGGGACTTGGTGGAGCCCCTCAATTCAACTTGTGTCTGACACAAGTTCTTTTAGCTCCTCTCCGTTTGAGCAAACCTTCCTCTAATTGGCTGTCTTTAACAAACAGCAGGTTTTAAGAAGATGGGTGGAACTTCTGTGGTCATATTAAGCGCTATATGACTGACATAGCCATGTAAGGATACCCCTCTCTATGACATCATTCAAAGCCAACAACAGAAAAAAACCGTCTGCAGACAAGCATTTTCAGACATTTTAGGCCTAAACGTTGGTCTCACAGGGAATACATATACATACACAGACATCATTATGGAAAATGCTGGCTATGTTGGCCCTAACAGCAGAGATCACTGTAACATCCATCCATCCATTCTCTTCCACTTATCCATGTCAGGGTCATGGGGGGCCTGAAGTCTATCCCAGCTGTAGCAGTATAACTGAAAATATTAATAAAGCAATAAGTTGTTTTTATAGATACAAACGTCTGCTGTAAGAACGATGAGTACATATTTTTAGAAACAAGCCCCGACGTGACCGTGCATACCATAAGTGGCTCTCCAGTGCAATCCAGTATAAACTCATAGCACAAGACTGATGCATTTACCTTTAGTACATATACTAACACAGCCAGCTACATTTACACGAAGCACAGGCATTACTGTCGCTCTAGTTCCATTTAACTTTTATTCAGACTCATATTAGAGATTAGAAGTGCT